TTAGGCCTAACATGGGCCCTTAGGGGATTCTAGGGTCCCTTAAGGGTATATATAGGGTAAATAGTACGTATATTAGGGTCCCAGGGTTAAGGGCCCATACTAGGGGCCCATGGGTTCTACCTTAGAGTTTTGTGGTTTCGGGCTTTTGGGGGGTTTAGGGTTTAGGGTTAAGGGTATTTAGGGTTTAGGAGGCTCTGGGGATTTAGGGTTTAGGGTTTTGGGTTGTTTCGGGCTGGGGGTTTAGAGTTTAGGTTGTTAAGTTCAATACTTTCTCTTTTTTGCCAGGGCAGTGCCACCATGGAAAGTGAATAATTTTAATGCCATATGTCCGATCCCCAATATTTATCTCGGACTCCCAACTCGCTGACCTACTTTCGAAACCGCAGATTAGGTTACCGATTGCCACTTGCCGTTGCACCGTGACAGACCCGGGCTCAGCAGCAAAGTCATTAGAACATCATAGGTCCGATCAAGAGATCCGGTACGCAAGAAAGATTCAAGCATTGAGACATGTAGAAATTTCTACTTAGATGTGTAGCTATGTAAGTGTGGATTGTGAAGCTACCCCCCAGGTCCAAATTCAACTTCCTTCATTATTCTTATTGCCAGGTCTGGGCTTAACGAGGTAAGGGCCTGAACCCAGGGAAAGTACTTGCCTTTTACAGTGACAAGTATTGTAAAGCCGACATAAGACTGGGCTCGTATATTTTTGACTAATGTCATTGCTGATTCTCGAACTCCAACTCATGTATGGGATGCCACTGGGGTGCTTCCACTTCCTAACTCTAGGATGGTGTTGGGGTGATTACAATTTCTAGAGCTTGAAACATACAACGCGTAGTGCCATTGGGTTCATTTCAGTGCCTAAAGTTTAGATCTGGGGGCTGACTCCACTCCGGGGGTGTCTTTGAGGTCCATAGATCGCCGGCCAAGCCCCTAAGCCCCTAAACCCAAAGCCCTAAACCACAGAGCCTTATCAACCCCTATAAGGTCTGGACCAAACCATGAGGCACTAGCTACGAAGCCCGGCTCTTCATCGTAAACCCAAACGGCCCAAACACAATCAACTCCCTAAGCCCTAAAAGCCTTATCAAGCTCCATCCAACCCTTATAAGGCGCTTAAGCCGTAAACCCTAAACCCATAAGCCCCAATCCTTAAACCCCGAAACCCTCAACCCCTAAACCCCAAAAGCCCTAAACTTTAATCCCTAAACCCTAAAAGCCCTAAACCCGAGGGCCCTAGAATAAAGCTACGAGGCTGCAGCTCCAGCAGGTCCTGATCGCCAGCCTAGAAGCCGAGCGAGCGGCACTTGAGGCCCTGGGGGGGGTGGGAGGGTTGGGTCTTGTAGGGTTTAGGATGTAGGGTTTAGGGTTGAGGGCTTAGGGTTTAGGATGCAGGATTTAGGGTTTAGAGTTTAGGGGTTTATAGGGGTTCTACAAGAGTTTCTGTAAGGTTTCTTCAATGGGGTCTTATATCGGGTGTAGAAACCCGCCAAAGTCCAAAGGCGCAGCCAGGAAAGCAAAGAGCAAAGCCAAGCCCTTGAGGAAGGTTTGGACCAGGCGACAGTGCATGTCACACACGGGGTACGGAACAAGTTCTGTGTGGATGACTGCGTGCGCAGCATCCTCAAAGGCGCTCCGCGGCAGACGGTGACACGGCTCTGCAGCAACTTGCTGCGCAAGGCTTTGCTTTAAATTTTCGCCTTCCAGGTGAAGCTTCTTCTGGACAAGGGGTAGAATAAAAGCAAGATGTACAAGCGCTGGTCCGCTTTGAGGCCGCCCTGCAGATGCACGCCGCCACCGTGGAGCTGCTGAAGATTTTGTTCCGGGCATTCGGATTGGGTGTTTGCGGAGTTTGGCTGCCCTAAACCCTAAACCCTAAACCCTAAACCCTAAACCCTAAACCCTAAACCCTAAACCCTAAACCCCTAAACCCTAAACCTGTGTTTTAGTGGTTTCTGGGACTCATGGCTGATGCTTTGGGATAGGGGTGGGACCAGGGTTTGGGGGACTTCAACAATCAAGTATTGGTGGGACCAAAGGAACACTATTACAAATAGTAACAGTCAACCCCAAAGGAGGTGGTGTCTGGTGACTTCGGGGTGGCTTCTTAGCTTAAAATGGAGGCTCCCGTTTAATGGTTTTTGTAATTTGTAATGAGGTTTCCAACCTGACACGGTATGCTAGGTCTCCCAGTGGGCCCTATTTCCTTTATTGTGGCTTTAAGTTCCGCTTTTTGTTGCTAGGTCACTGGGGATCCTTATATGGGACCTTCAAATCCATGCAACAACATGGCAAGGTCAGTACATATATGAGCACGCAGTCCACCGCCATGTCTAAAGCTGCCCCACGTTCCCACGGTCTCCCCATCGTGCCAAGCCCGAAGGCTCCATTTACCCATATGAATACAGTATATGCTTAGACCCAAAAGTACCTATATAGGGACCCCATTAAGGCCTAAGTATCTACTATAAAGGTACATGGAGCCTTTGGGAGAGGCAGCAGACTATGGCAATCAACTTCAACAACATGGTCCGCTTCAACTCGGGGGCCCTGCAGTACCTGGGGTTTTGGGTTTAAGGTTTAGAGTTTAGGGTTTTAGGGTTTAGGGAAACAGTTTAGGGTTTTGGGTTTATGGAACTATTCCCCTGTAGTCCTTGTCTAGGTTCCCCAGTAGTACCCTTTTGCCCTTTTTCTTCCTGGGCTCCCTTATTCAAACCAAATAGTAGGAAAAGGGGTACCCTTAGAAATTAAGGGGCTACGGGGGAACCTAGCTATTATCAGTATCAGTATTACAATATACCACAAAAAGGTCCTATGATGTCTAACCAGGTCCCTGTATTCCGCAGGCCTTGGATCCAACTTGCTCAGCGGCTGCTGTGGGAGAGGAGCGAGTTAATGTGAAGCATCACGGGGGATGTAGTCCCCCTTTTGACAAAGCCCTCCTTTCTTTAAGGGCCTTCGAACCAGGATCCCTATGTAATCGAGGAAGGGAGGGAAGGAGGGAGGGAGGGAGGAAGGAGTAATGTAGGAACCTTATTAAGAAACCCTGGCTCTTTACTAGGGTTCTGTATATGAATCCTAATATTTTGGGGTTATGGGGCCAGGGTTTCTTAGTCAGGTTCCTACATTATCAGGGCACTCTTCAGTCTTGATCTATGTTGCAATTGTCTCGGGTGCGCTGTTTGGTTGTCAGTAGTACCGGAGTTGAGGCTGTAAGTCTGTACAATGACAATTCCCTTACTCATGACCTGCCCCTTGCCCTTGAAGTACATCCTTTAGAACCTTGATAGAACCCTTCTCAAAGTGCCTACAGTACTTTACCTTTCCCTTGAACCCTAAACGGTGACCCCTACATCCCAGAGCTTCCAGAGGGTTGGCTGGGAATTTCGGGTGCTTACAAGGATCACAGCTCCGAGTAGCTACCAGAAAGGTTTAAACAAGGGGTTCTATAAAAGGCTGTATACAGGTCTTATCAAGGCCTCTAATCTTTAAGATGTGCGGACGGTTAGTAATTGCATTTATTACTATTAATGATCCTTAAAGCATTTCTTGAAACCATGGGTGTTACGGTGCGAGGTAGGAGGGTGGGAGGTGAGTTCCGTTTCGTCCGGTCCCAGATGTTGCGGTTCGGTTCGGTACGGGAGCGCGCGGTCCGATACGATACTCGGTGAAGGTGTTATTGAAACGGCCATGGAAAGTGAAACCCTGATAGAGCCTGACAAGCTTCATAAAATTTTTGCAGATGTATGAAGTTTAACAGTTTAATGACCCGTATTGGAACCCTATGTATTCCTTGTATACGAATGCATATATACATACACTATGTATATACACATACATTATGTGTACATAAGATACAAGTAAACAACAAATACAAACAACATAAGTAAGCACATAAATAAACAAAATAAACATATATATATATATATATGGTACCCCCCCCCTCATGTATCTACCGTTTGTC